GCAAAAACCATAAAGAACGTACATAAATCAGCATGGCTTTTATCCAGTGAAATCAAAACAAGAGAGATACTGTACTGTTATACGGGAAATACAAAAAGTATTTATCTGCATTATGGATTCAAGAGAGAGAATATGCTATAAAACTGAAAAGTAATATTCTGTAAAACTGAATATTGTTTTTACTTAATTATCACATTTCTCCAAACTTTAACACAACTCTCCAGATACCATTAGTTTTACTTCTTGGAAGTGTCTGTTCATCTGTCAACATGAAGAGAGCTACAGCTGTTAGACACCGTAATTGTTTTATTTGAAAAGGTGCAAAGAGGAATAAATAAGATCTGTGCAGTATGATGATTATTTTTCAGCTTTTTCGGGGGTTCCATCTTCAGGTTTGGAGGAGAAGCGATCCATTAGTGTCTTCCACAATCCTTTCTTCTCCTCATCTGTGTGCTGCATGTTTCCTGCAAAACAAAGAAATGACAAAATGTCAAATGCTGATTAAAAAAAAAAATGTACCACTGTTTCCACAAACTGTTTTCATAAGAAGAAATATAATATGCCAAATCAGCATATTGGAATAATTTTATGTGATGTGTAATGAGTAATGGCTGCTGAGAATTCAGCTTTGCCATCATAAGAATAAATTTGAAAACAGTTATTTTAACATATTTTTTCATCAAATAAATGCAGCATTGGTGAACATAAGAATTAAACTCAAGAAATCCTCACCTGTTGCCAATAGCATTCGGCACTCTTCTACTGTTACACCTGTAAAACTTGTATCTTTTGCCCGTGGAAACTGAACACAAACAAACCAAAACATTATGATGCGGTCACATTATGAGGCTTAGGTATAATAAGCCTCATAATTAATCAAATTAATGAAACGAAAGGCATTTTATTAAAAACATAAAAAATGTGAGGATAGGCTTTTAAACAGAATAAATCCAAATGAGCTCATACTATAACTGTTTATTCCCCACAGAATATGCAAGCTATGCATCTCTTTCAAAGACAATAAAAAATACAGGTCAGTTCAAATAAATCTAATGATAATTGAATTATGCTCTGTCATGTGGATGTCTGTTATCCATAAAGGTTTAGACCTAGAATCATTTAGAAAATGTGGCTCACCTTTTCTTTGTACACATTACTGTTGATGCGCGCCAGACTTTCATACATCTGATCACATTTCTCTGGATCTGAAATCTTAATTGAAACATAAGACAACATAGTCAATGGTGCATTCGATATTTGTATTGTTGCATAAATTATTTTGAGAAAGGATGTTTACAAGAAAACATAACATACAAAACAATAAAAAGGAAAAACCCTTCAGAATAAGAAAGAGCTTTATTGCCAAGTGTACTTGCTCACACAAAGATTTTTAAAATAATTTTATTTATTAATAATAATATTATTATTATTATTATTGTGGTAATGAAACTTCCAGTGTACACATATAAATTCAAGACACTTACTGGAAACTTTATTGTAAATACTAACATATCCAAATAAATAACATGTTTGTGACTATCTATTGAAAGCATTAATACACAATATGAAAGATGACATTTGACTTGTCTAACAACTTGCAATGCAACACGGGTAAATCGTGCAATAATTCACTCAAGTAAAAACAATACCTGTGTATTCTCGCCTTCTCGGAAAGCACTAGCGACTCTTTGGCGTAAAAATGTTCCTAAATCTCGCCCTTTCTTTGACTCGTCCTTTGGCCATTCCTCGCATAGCTTTAGAAATCGACGGTATCTGGTGGCAGCCATGTTTTAAGCACAGGAATTGTAGGTGGTGTGTTTCACAACTGCGCTGTGTTGAAAATCTGTAAGCCGTGGAGGGTCAAACGCTACGGCGTTTCAAAATTGATTACTTAACACCGGAAACCGCCTGTCTGTCAACACTGTTTGTTCCAGTTGAGGATCCGTAGGGCGATACTGTTAACCTCGTGGTTTGCCGTAGAAATCTCAAGGTAATATCAAAGAACCTCTGGCTTGCTTGTCTAATACAAATTTATCCACAAATAAAATGAGTGGAAAGAAAACAGACGGGCAATCAGGTGGTGTCATGGGATGGATAAGCTCAGCTTGCCGTTTCGCGGCGGACAGAAATGATTTCAGAAGGTTTGTTGTTTTAAATGATGTACGAAGCTTAAAAACGACGCGAACATTGCTGTTGCGTGCAACTCGTATACTCGAAATCATATTCAAATGTATAATTTTAAATATTTGCCAGCATGTGACCATCTCCTTTGTTTTATTGTTGTAGGAATCTCCTTGTAAACCTGGGTTTATTCGCAACGGCTGTTTGGGTCGCAAGAAACCTTTCAGATTTTGACTTGATGTCTCCTCAGCCAGTCATGTAGTTCCCACTCCGCAAACATTTACTTTAACAGGTGAAATAGCAAATCTTGAAAGCATTGTTCACTCCTAAACCTCTAAAATAGATCAGTCTTAACTCCTTCATTTTGTCTTTTCATGATAGGTGGTGCTGAAATGGAAGAACACATTTTCTACCGAGGGTCTTGTTGAACAAGCCCATTCAACACTGAAGGGAATAAGTCTAGAGATGGGCGTATCGATCCGAGGTATCGATATATCGATACTGACACG